TGGCCGTGTTTGCCAGCCCGGCCCCCGGGAGCTGCTCCGTGCCAGCGCAGCCGTTGCCGTGGAGGTAAAGAGCAGGAATGAGCCTCTGCTAATGCACAAACAGAGTCAAGTACCGCTGCCCTTTGCAAAGCGCTAATGAATTACAAGTGTCTCTCCTTACCCAGGCGCTGCCACCACCTCGTGACCGGCTGAAAACTGCAGCCCTCGACTCGGGGAGCTGCTGGAATTGCTCATTTCTGACGGTATCTGAAATAATTTAATGCAGGATAGCAAAGAGGGGAGGGTTTTTTGGGGTGGGTTCCATCACCAGCAGGGTTTTGGTGCTCTCAGGCTGGGTGGCATCGGGGCTCGTGCCACCACAGGGACTGGTACCCAGTGGAACAAATGAGTTTTAAACCCCTCTGTTTTATTATTCTGTATTAATAATGAGGCGGCCCTCGTAAATAGCCGTGAAAAGGAGCGCTTAAGCTCATAATTAATAAATGCTGCCTTGGGTTCTGCTGCAGCCTCGAGATGTGTGATGGGGGATGCACGGCTCTGCCCAAGAGCAGAGGGTGCTCGAGCCCTCCAAGTTAATAAATCTGGGATTTACTGTGAGATTTTGGGACAGCCAGGACAGGCAGCTGTGGTTTGGGGTATGGCAGAGCCTGTGGGGCAGGGCTGGGGGCACAGGGTGGGATGTGGCACAGGGTGGGATGTGGGGACACAGGCTGGGATGTGGGGGCACAGGCTGGGATGTGGGGGCACAGGCTGGGATGTGGCACAGGGTGCAGGAGCCCACCTTCAGTGCCCAAAGACCCCACGGGGGTGACACTGCACAACCCCAGTGGCCCCAGCTGCCTCCTGCAGCTCATCCTTACAGCTCGGCCATAAATGTTTATGACAGGAGGGAGAGGAAGTAAATCACATTTATCTCCCTTGTTTTCTTTATCGGGGCACTAATTTGACAGGGAAGGGAAATTCTTGCTTATTTTACAACTCTGATTTCGGCAGCAATTTGATTTCAGTAGCTGGGAGGCGAACACAAAATCTTATTTTTGTTCCAGAGCTGGTATAAAAATTTACATTCTGACACCGACCCCCACTCCCATTTCAGCGCTGCTCCAGCAGGCCCGCGGGCTCTGCACAGAACACATCACCCACATATAATACACTCATAATTCACTAATGTTTGCTGAATGACAGGGTTAAGTGGCTGCTATTCCCGGCCTCCCACCACACTAATGTACTCCAGACCCGCGCTCCTTTTCTTCTGGATTGCAGTCAAATCGTTTCCTGCAGCCCTCGCAGTGGAAGCTCCTTCTACCCCGAACAAACACGACTTCCGAAATTATTTTCATTTGTTTTTCTAATCTAATTTTCCCCTCGGTGCTCCACTAATCATCAATCCCATTAAGGGCTTGATGTGTTGACTGCTTTGCAGAGAGCCCGTCCTGCATCCTGCCATGCTGACCTTCACAGGCTGAGCCCCCCGGACCACGGAGGGGATGGAGGGGATGGATCCCACCTCGGAGGGGCTGCACCATCCCTCCATCCCTGCCCCATCCCCATCCCACAGCCTGCTCTCCCGGAAAGGACCCTGTGAGATCCTGCAATGAGCCCTGATGAGAGATGAGCATTCACAGCCTGCAGGAGCAGAGGGGGAGCTGGCTCTGCCCAGGCCAGGTGCCAAAGGGAAACCCTCTGGTGGCACTGAGCTGGGAGAGGGGGTCACCCCAGTGAGGGAAATACGCAGCAAGGGTGTGGGGGACTGGGGTTTATCCAGCAGGACCCACTGCCCCTCCTGCAAAGAGGATCAGTACTGCTGATGGTGCCAAAGGATGAGGGAGCAGCCTTGGGGCACAGGGACAGGGCAGGGATGTGCAGGATGGCCAACAAAGTGATGATTTTCGGGGTGATGGGGCTGATCTCACCCCCCCAGAAATAAATATTCCCCCACCCCCCCCAATGAAATGGACTCCATGGATCTGTTCAAAACAGTTTATTGTATTTTTTCGTCAGACAAACACATTGATTTCTGGACCACAGTAGAGGATGGAAACCTTTCACAAACTTATTTATTTGAAAATACAAATATAAAATTATACTTTCCACATCTGTGATGTGAGAGACCCCCATCCACATAGTATTTTACAACAGGGCTTCAGAAAGCCATACACAGAGACCTGAAAGATGCTTGATATATATAGATACATATATATATGTATATATATAAAAAAAAAGTCACTACCAAAGTTCTCATCAGTTCATACTAAAGTATAAAAGGAAGGGCTAGGCCTGCCACTGTGCCATAGTTTATTTAGGTACATTTATGACCACCTGAAATGCTCACTTGCATCCTAGTACTGATGGGAGTTCAGACCTCGTACGACAGAGAATGACGGGGGTGCTACCTACGAGGACACGGGACAGAGGAGCCCGGGGCTGGGGGGGCCCTGCTGGGCTGGGGGGGCCCTGCTGGGACAGGGGGACCCCTCTGGGCCCGGGGTGACCCCTCTGGCCACCGGGCCCTGCTCGGACACCGAGCTCTCCACACAACACGGTCGGACTGCTGGGGGGGGCCGACAACCCACCACGAGGATTTGCTTTCTCAGACTAAGGTATTTTTTTTTCCTTTTTAAAAATTATTATTATTATTAATTATTATTATTATTATTATTGTGGTTTTTTTTGGTAATTTTATTACAGTATTAAAGTATTGCTTAGCTTACAGAATCTCCTCACGTAGTGTTCGCGCGGGGCCGGCTGGATTCTGTACGTAGGAAACTCTACAGTGTCTGTGCCCGTGTGTCTGCGAGGCATCCTGGCTCTTCTGACACTAACCTCACTTCTCCCTGTCTCTTCTAACACTAACCCCACTTTTCTCCCTCTCTCTCAACTATGTCGCTTTGAAAAAAACAAACCAAACCACTAAAAAAAAGAATTCAGAAGATTCCACCCAAGAGACATCGCCATAGCATAAAAGACAGCTATGAGTTAGTGTTGTTTTTCTTTTTTTTTTTTTTTCTTTTTTTTGTTTTTGTAAACAGTTTCATATGCAATATCATACAGAACCATGGCTGGCCTTCAGTAAAAATGTAGTAAACTATATTGCTTTATTATTGATTATGTTGCATTGAGTGAATGGCAGAAACGAAACAGGAAGGGACGTGTGGCTGGAGTCGCTAGCCCTCATTCACACTACAGATGAAAGCAGGGAAGAAAAGAAATCCCAACACCTTTCAGGTCGTTATCACCCACAATTACCCAATGATTTAACTAAGCCTAGCAAGATGTGTGACATTCACCAGCAGACGCTGCTGTACAATGGAAAAAAGAAAATCAACTTACAGCAAAGAGAGCCATGCTACCTTAAAGTCCAAGCTACAAATTCAACTCAAAATGAACATTTATGAAGTGTAAGAAAAAATAAAAAACCCAAAGGACAGGTCAGGCTTTGCCTTAACCAAGCCGATCCCAAGGAGGACTCGGGTTATTCGAGGGGAGGGTCCCAAGCACTTGTGGCTCCTGGGGCTGTCCCTGGTGCTGGGGACGAGGCCCCTGTGGGTCACCCAGGTGTGGAGATGGCTCCTGTTGGCCACCCCAGGGCAGATCTGCAGGGCTCTGTCCCTCAGGGAGGTGTCCTGGCTCTGTCCCTGCAGCTCCCAGGCCAGGCTGGACACTGGGGACAGCAGAGGTGACCCTGCCATGGCAGGGGTGGCACTGGACGGGCTCAGGGTCCTTCCAACCCAACCCAGCCCACGGCTCCACCATCCTTCGCTCCCTCCTGGGCTTGAGTAAAACAAAGGTGCAGCTGAACCTTTGTGCTGAAAAATTTACAAAAAACCCCCAAACGAACGAAGGAAAAGGAAAAAAAAAAAAATAATCCTTCAAAATTGATTTCTAGATGAGTGGGGGACTAACGTGAACCTTAGTCTAGGTAGCCACATCAAAACATCTTGGATTCCACGACATTTGTGCTATGGGCCACTGGGACTTCTCAAAAGGTATATAAACATCTAAAACATATTCACACAGATTAGCAATTTCTTCTGAGCATTCTTAAAAAAATATGTTTTTTTTTTTTTTCTCTTAGTAAAATCGTTTTAATATACCGTGCCTCCCTCTTTTAAAAAATAAATTAAAAAAATCCAGTTTTGCATATCTAGCATTAGCATTTAAGGTAGTATGGCACATCCCCTTTCCAAAGTCATGGGTGGGGATCTACAAATGCCTTAAGAGTTTGCCAGCATTTTTAACATTGTGAGACCTTTGGTTAGTTGAAACCGCATCAGATCAACAAAAGAAAAATAATAAACAAGAGAAAAAAAAAGCACAGAAAGAAAAAAGAGAAGAAAAAAACAAAAAAGGAAAACCTTCCCAAAATTATTAGCATTTTTTTTTCTTAAATAAGAGAAAGTTCTATCCTTACTGGTCCTAAATCTGAATAACTACATCTAAATTTTTAACCTTAATTACGATACACCTACCAATATGTACTAGAAGAGGAAGAGAGAAAGAGGGGGGGAAAAATTCACTACACTACCATCAGGACAGCACTCTTACAAGATAAGCCATTTTATACACTATTAACATACAACAATGATCAACAAAGAATATTCTATGAGGTGACAGGGAATGGAGAGGAAAACCAACTGGTAGTACAGTACATCATCAACATTGACAAAATAGCAATAAAAAATTCCCTGACGGCACACTGAATCGCAGGGAATTTGGTTCATAGTATTTTTTTTTTTTACCTTTTTATTTTTTAAAGAATTCGGTTTTATTTCTTTTATTACTTGATCAAGTCTCAATATTTAAAAAGCGTCCAGCATTTTGCTTAAACCTGGTTGTTCTGAAATAAGAAAAAAACCTAAAATATTACATAAAAAGCATGATTTTTTTTTTTTAAAAACAAGAAAAACAAGGTTTCTCCTTTCGGTTAGCAGTATGGTGCCTTGTTTTGTTAAAGATGCCTTGCTCTACCTTGTCTATTGAATGTCTACATTAGTCTACTTGTTAGTAAAATTTACAAAAATAGGAGTGCAGCAGCTCTTTTTAACAAATGTCGCATTCAGTGTCTTATACTGGCTGTACCTAAAGTACCAAATTTATAAACGTAACAATTTAAAAAAATATTAATAAAACTTGTCAATATTACGTTAAAAAAAGAAGAAATATATCCACACTACAGTATGTTCTTAATGCCACCTACCATGTTGTACTTCTAGTTTGCTGTTGCAGGCCTATTTACCAATATTAAAAAAATTAAATTAAAAAATATCCTTCATAAGTTTCCTCCCCCAACAGAGGACCATATATATAACAGCCAAATATTAAACATGTGCAAATAGGAAACTGTCAGTTTTTCCCCTACCAGTCACAGTGCAATGATGTTTTATACTTTATTTCTTTTAAATTCTGTTTACAACTACAATAAATTAAAATCTTCCGTTGCTTCTAGGGTGAAACTTGTAGCACTGAGGTATTCCCAAAAAAAAAAAAAAAAAGAAAAAAAAAATCAAAACCAACCAAAGTTGCTTTCTAATTTGACATTACAGAAAGTGATGGATAATAAAGGAAACCATGCAAGCTGGACGCTGCTCGGCCCACACGGGGTGCCCAGAGCAGCTGAAATGACTGGACAGCAAGTTGATCTAGTTTAAAACAATGTCTAAAACAAAAAAACCAAAATCCAAAATAAAAAACCAAAACAAAGGTGTGCTTTGAACCGTAAATGCGCTAAGTAGGAAAAATCGTAGCTTCTTGATCAGTTTTGGGAAAAGCAGGTTTTAAATTAAAATAAAAATCCCTCGAGACTGTTCCTTTGCAGGCTGTGCACGTGTGAGAGCAAGCTGCTGGTGTGAGCTGGGTGGGCTGGGAGGGTCCCACAGCACCACAGCCACACCTCCCTTCTCTTCTCTCCTCCATTTCCATAGAGAAACTGCCTTAGGCTGACTCCGTCACAAAAATAGGTTTGTATTTCTCTTTCTTAATAGCTTCTATGTAGTTAATGGAATTGTATTTACAGCACTTTTATTATTTTTTCTCTTTTTTTTTTTTTCAGAATTCACAATTTCAAAAAACCTTATATCACCTCTTTCAACAAAAAAAAGCACTTATATAGAAAAAGGACGCGCAAAAAGTTTGTCGCCCTCGCCTTATTGCCGAAAATAGAGAGAATTAGAGTAACCAAGACGCCACAAAGGAAAAGAAGGGCCAGAGAACCTGCTGCTCCCCCCTCCCCGTGCCCTGCCCGCCGCTGCCCAGGCTCCTGTCACCATCTCAGCATCCTTTAAGCAACAACAACTACGGAAAACAGAAGGGAGGAGGAGGAGGAGGAGGAGGAGGAGGGGAGGTGGGAAAGAAAAAGCAAAAGAAACCCTTTAATATAACAGTTACACTATGGTTAGGCTCTCGCTACATACACAAAGAATTGCGACTACGTGGCTACGAGACTATGTCCAAAAGGCTACGAAAAGATGTGGGTTTGGAGAGGCTTAAAAAGAGGGGGGGAACCCACCGAGAAAATAAAACCAACAAGAAATGGGTTTTATATACATACTTTTAAAAGCTGTTGTTTTTATAGTACAGCAGATTCATGAGATGATGAGAGAGATTTTAAACCACCCAAGTCCTTCGAGTGCCACCTCCAGTTTGCGTTGGCGGTGATGATGATGATGGTGATGGTGATGATGATGTAGTGCTCAAAGTCTGATGAGATCACCCAACCGTGGGCCCCTTCAGAAACTTCGCCCTGTCTTGCCCGGACATCCAGAGAGACTCTGCGTGGGGAGAAGGTGCACAGCACACGGAGAGCGACAGTTAATTGAGGTAAAGTAGGATTTTTAACCAAAAAACCCCAAAGTGTCTGCAAACACTGCAGCCACAGCCTGCCCCATCCAGCCCGAGGGAGGATGCAGGGGGCTGCAATGCTGAGGTGTTCCCAGGACAGCCCCCACAGGAGAGGGGGTCTCATGTGTTCCCTGCTAAATTATATTCCCAGTAAAACGGGAGTTGATGTATGGCCAGGACAAAAACGGCTCCTCAGGCATCTGTTCTGCCGTGAATTCACACAGCTTTGGTAAAATGGGTTTTCTCTGAAGTACCTGGAAGGTGACAAGTGTTACCTGTGCAGGCTGAGGCAGCCAGGATTTATTTTATACAGGAGCTTCAGCCTCCAACGCTGTGTCCCTGCCAGTGCTTAGAGCTGAGCTATATGATGTGTAAAGAAATGTAAATATTTGGGGCACTGGCTCTGAAGGCAGCCGCTCACAGGGACGAGGGCCAGGCCAGGATGGTCCCTGGGGACCCCCAGAGCCCATCCCCAAACAGCCGTGCTGGGTGAGCTCCCAGCAGCATCCTGCAGGGATGTGGAGCTGCTCCCTGCCCCGGGACTGCAGCTCAGCCAAATCCTCAAATCCTGCCCGGGGACGCAGGAGCAGCCGCGGCCACGAGCGCTTCAAACCCAGCGCTCCTCGAGGAATTAATAATAAGGCTCATTTCCTCCTCTCCAAATCTGTTTTAATTAGTAATGAGCAACATTAAAAGCACTTTGTTTTTAAGTCGTTAATGGTTTGAGTCCCGGCCTGGCCAGTGAGTGATGGCTGCAGTGATGGGCTGTGTGAGCGAGGAGTGATTACAGCCCATCAGGCTGGCAGGGCTGTGCATTATTAGCCTGAGTGATGATGTTCTGCCCGGGCTCCAGCTGGCCTCGGGTACCACCTCACTATTCCAGGGGCTGACGTGAAGGATTCTGACAAATTGATCTGAGAACAGGCCCTGCTACGTGCAAGTAATAGCTGGGATTAAGCAAGAGTGCTTATGGCACTTTTTTCTTTCCCATAAAAAACACTCCTTGGTGGAGCAAATCAATTGACAGAACAATTTCAGGTAATCTTGGGGGTGTGTGTGGAGATGGAGAGTAAATAGAAACCCCCTTTATCCACTAGTGTTTAGGTATAAATCTATTTTTATGTAGTTTAAAGTCTCCCAACGTTTTCCACAGTTCCCAGCCCCCTGACTAACTTTACTTCTAATTTCATAGACTGATTTTTGAACGTAAATGATGTGACATTGATCATGTAACACCGGGCAGGAGGCAGGGAAATAAAATGTGACACATCCATTCCATCTGCCTGTCCGGGCCCAGAGCTCTGGGGGCAGACCCGTGCCATTTAATTGGGATAACTTCTGCTTCTCATTGCATTTTCTAATCTATTCCATTCCGAGTGCTAAGAATATTTGTTTGCAAAGATGAATATGCCAAAGGCCAAATAATAATAAAAAATAAAAATTAAACATTTAATTAACTGGAGCTTAGTTCAAAGGGTAGGAAACTGGCAGCGATCCAGGGCTGCGGTGCTCAGGTAATGCCTTTAATTTAATTTGCTTCAGGTTTAATTTTTTTTTAATCTTGATAATTGCTCTATGGTTACAAGTTACAATGTTATCTTTTAGCTGTAATATTTGGTACAGCACTTAATTAAGAATGATGGTTTCTCAGTAATAAAGCAGTGGGGCTCAGCTATTTTTGAAGCAGTGCGCTGGGAGCAGATCTCTGATCCCACTGGGATTCTGCTGCTGGCACTGGGGGTGATTCCCCACAGCCTCCTGGGTTTTCTGCCTCTTCAAATTATTGCACGAAGCATCACGAAGATGAAAAAGTGACTTTTGGTTTAGCTTTGGATCTGTCTTCCAGTTTCCAGCCCATGAGGTTGATTTGAGTAACACAAATCACAGAAAGGAATGATTAAAGGCCAAGGAAAGACGAAATGAAGATAAAAAATTGGTCACTTAAAGTAAATATAGGGGAGATGGTAGTTCAGCACAAAGTACAAATGGGATATACTGTAATACCTCCAAGTGAGATGGCAACCAACCATGTGTAACGTTTCAATGGTATCCATTTGTAAAAGCCGTTGCAATCAAAGGTCCCTAAAATTGTACAATTGTTAAGTTCATCAGTGCTCTATACACGGGAACAGCTGATTATTAATTTTTGCCAAGAAATTATCAAAGGACTTGAAAGACTGTGTTGCCAGCATGAATAGGGATTTCCAAGAGCTGTTCTGGTCACCAGGTGTGCTCAGCCCTATGGTCACCTTTCCAAGACCATCATCTTCTCATTCCCCCAGGTGCAAAAATAAGCTTTGGGGTTCTCCCTTCTTTATTTTTAAACCAGGGTTAGTAAATGGAGAGTGTTAAATAAATATATACGTAATAAAAGCTAGGGGATTCTTTGCAGTTATTGGGGGAATTAAGAGGCTACCAATCTGCAAGTCAATTATAAAATGGTTCTTTGGGAAGTGTTAGTGCAGACAAATCTGGATACCCAGCCTTGGACCTGGTGTCCTTTCACTTGAAAAATCGGGATGTTGCAGAGACAAAAGTGCCCAAGTTTTCAAGCACAAACAGGTTTTTAGGTGAAAAATGGAAATAAGAGGTGTTGTAAGTGGTGAGAGGTGGCAGTTTGAACTGATGTAGCTCCTTGCAGAGCAATAATATTCCATGTTTGTGCTAGAATTGATCCACAGGGATTGTAAAGCCCGTGGCGTGACCGCGGGAGGGGCAGGCCCGGGATGGGAATTGAGCACACGGGCACAAAGCCAGGCAGAAGGTTCGTTTGTCCTTTTTGCAATAAAAATAGCAGTTCCAGGAGCTTTGTCTGCACCACACTCCTGCTCCCCCATCCAATTCCATCAGGGAGGGCAGCTCTCCTCTGGGTTTGAGGGACCTTCGGGGGAGCCTCTGCACCTCCTCCCTGTGCAGGAGATAACCCAGCCCCTGGCCGTGCTCCCAGGGGCAGGAGCCTCCCTTGCCACCCGTGCCAGGTGCCACGGGGCAGCCCAGCCCCATTCATGCTCACACACAGGTGACACAGCCACGTGCAGCCTTGTTAAGCCAATCTCTGCCCTCATTAGTGCAATCACAGCCCCACGTTAGGCGCGTTAGGAGGCGCCTCCCGGGACCCCCGGCCCAGCCCGGCCCCTCGCTGCAACCTGTGGCTCTCGGGGGCTGCAGTGAGCCCAGGAATGGCTGGGGGTGACCCCAGGACCAGCTGGGGGTGACCCCAAACATCAGCAAACAGGGGAAGAGGAGCAGGACATGCCCTGTCCCAGCAGCCAAATGAATGAGCTGATTGTGCTCCTTTAACGGGAGCAGGGACTGTTGCTGTGCCTGCCGAAGGGTGCAGCAGCCAGGAGGGGCAGCTGGGCTGATAGAAAGCCTATGGGGACAAGCAGGGATTTAAATCCCATATTTATTAAATATTTCTCCCTGAGACAGGTCATGTCTGGCTGCAGATGGCTCCGAAGGAGTGTTTGCACCAGGAGATGTTCAGGTTGGATATCAGGACAAAATTTCTCCAGTGCCAGAGTGATTAATCTTAAAATTTCTTCAATATAAGAGTGATTAATCACTGGAATGGGCTGCCCAGGGCGGTGGTGGAGCCCCCATGCCTGGAAACATTACAACTTTCACAAAGTTGCGGAGTTTCGGTTTATCTCCGCAAAACATTCGGCTGTCATGGTTTGACGCTGGCGCAATGCCAGTGCCCCCATGAAAATATAATCTCCTTAAAATGGCAATTAGTGATAATAATGATAAATTGGCGATAAAACGGCAATGGGGTCTCAAGGGCTGATTGGACCTGGAGGTTTCCCCCTTGCCAATCCCAGCTGGAGCACCCTGCCAATCAGCGATTACTCCAGCTGGCGCCCATGGGTCGGGCACGGCTCACAGGTTGTGGCAGCGAGGAGCCCGCTGGCCACGGGGGTCCCCAGCACCCCCAAACCCCCAATCCCCACCCAGACCCCCCAGACGCCCCCAGAGCCCCCTCCCGGGGTACTTACGGCGATGCCGTGGCCGAAGCCCGAGCCTGGCTGCGGGCTGGCGGCGCTTATGTAGTTGCCCACGGCGGAGTCCTGGCTGGCCGTGCCGTAGAGATCCGCCACGGGCCCGGGGCTGTTGGCGCCGGGGAAGCCGCCGGGCCGCGCTGGGGTGGAGCCTGCCGGGGAAGCGGGTGCGCCAAAATTCGGTTGAGCACTGTAGCTATTCAAGACTGGTGTGCAGAGAATAAAGCTGGGTATGAGGCCAGACGCCGGGCATGCACCGGAATTACAAAGCCAAACACCAGAATAAACAGCCTAGGCCCAATTCTAACACTTAACCAAGGCCATGCGAGAGGAGAGCAAGTACTGGAGAAGAGTCAGCCCGGACTACTACGAAGCTTAGAGCTCCAAAAATATATATATGGATATATATAAAAAATAAAAAGAAAAAAAAAAAAAGAACGATCATTCAACACACTACTGCAACCAGAGACTGGAGGTGCTCATTTTCACCAAATTATCACAAAATATAATAGGTATTTTTCAACATCTGACTTGATGCTCATGCAGTAGTAACAAGTTCTCTAGGTCTGGGCACGCCGAGACAGCATTCACATCCCATGCAAACTACAAAGGAACTAGTTTGAGACTACACATTGTGGTAATATTGATATTAAAATGTTGACAGCAAATAACTTGAATCACGTCTAGGAAAATAATTTTTTGGATCCATTCGATACTTTTGGAAAAAACCCGCCCTTTTAGATCAGTAAGCTGTAGAAATAGTTCAGTAGTTGATTTTTTTTTTTCTTTAAATGATATGGAATGGAACAGTTTGGATTTTTCTCTTTCAAATATGACCAAGGAGACTGTTGTTTTATTTAGGGTTTTTTTTTTCCTTTTGATTTGGAGAGCGAAGACCTACCTTCGTCTCCAAAACCATGCTTGGGACATCAACCAAAATTAAACAAATAAATAAAGATCAAAAGCAAAAAAAGAATTCCAGAGGGTGGATGACAACTCACCTCCTAATGTGGAAGTAAAAGAAAATTTAATTTTTTTCCTCCCTTAATTTTTTTTTTTTTTGAGAAAGAAAAACAATGTAAATAAGAATGATACTGAAGAAGAAATTTAGATATTAAAGCATGTTAGATGATCAGGCTTCTGGCATTTCTCACGGCTGCTCTTGGATGTAGAATTTATGAGGAAGAAGTTTCAATGGGAAAGAAAAGTCAGCGGACTGGGAGGAGCTGGATGGAGATGGGAAGCTGGAGCTACACCTGGGTGGTTCCTGCAAGGTCCCTGGGGCACAGGGAGCCTGCTCTGCCCACCCCGCCGTGTCCCCAATGTGTCCCCAGTGTGTCCCCACCAAGGGCAGCGCCAGGACACGATGGCCAGCAGGGCTGGATGGGCCCAGCAGCACAGCCTGCCCAAACCCCCTGGGCACCGACCCCATGCCCTCCATGCCACCTTCCAGGCTGCCCAGGCCATTCCAGCCTTTTCCTCTGGCTGCACCTGCCCAGGATCTCCACTCAACGCCAGGGTGGGTTATGGGGCCTGGTGGCCAGCACTGACCTGTGCCCAGCCCAGGGCTGCAGGACTGACCACAGGGCTCTCTGCAGCGACTCTG